TTGAGTGCCAATGCAAGCATTCCCTCCGGGCTACAAACCATATTAAATCTCCATAATTATACTTTTAACCTTTCATGATAACAAAGTCAATCGAAGCAAAAATTCTTAAGAAAATTTGATGCAGAGTTCTCTAAATTTTTTGAAATTGATCTAAGAAAATATGCCGGACTTCGAAAATGTCAAAATTGAGTAAAAAAAAAAATTTTAAAAACGATCTTTGAGATCCAAAAAATGACTAAATTGGATCGTCTAATAAGAAAAAAAGGCTCGACAATGCGTAGGATACATAACTGACTGGTCTGGATGACATTTTTACCTATTTCAGTTTGAAGGTCAGTGAGCCATTTTTGCTAGTCACTTCAATTAGAAAAATTGCTTGGATCGAGGTAAATTACATTTTAACTATTTCAAATTTCGATAATTCCGCGTTATTGAGATTTTTCTGATAAAATTTGTAATTTAATTTTACAAAATGCAATTTTATTGGATTTTGGTAACTTTTATTCGTATTTACTCACAATCTAGTAATGTGGTGAAATTTTGAAAACTTAATTTTGACAAATTATAGATTATTGGATGGGGAATTATTTGACAGTCATTAGAGTATTTTTGTAGACTCATATAATAATACTGTGATTATTTTAGTAGTATATAATGCTTTTTTTTTTTCAATATATGTGAATAAAAAATTTGAACTAACCACGAAAAGAAATTATGATATGTATTAGAAATTCTAGATCCTCAAGGCTATATTTATTAAGAATGGATTTTGTTGGCGGTGCGTAGGAATTTTGTTAATTATTATATATAAAAAATTGGGTTATGCGGACCATTCTAATAATTATTATGAAATATTTGGTTATATTTCAGTCGGCATCAGTACAATTTTGATAGTTATTTAAATGCTTATTAAAATGTAGTAATGTTATCCATTTAAGTTTCAATTTTTTGCATAATACTTCAGTTTATTAATTCAGTATTTTTAGTTGGTTGAAGCTATTGATTCTTGTTTTAGGTTACGATAGCCTACTGAGCCGTGTCAGCTCATTCTTGCTTTTGCTTTCACTTTTAGGTCAGGGAAAGGGTAAAGAGAGAGTTGTATAGTGCTTCTATCAAGCTTTGATCTATGCTATATATATATATATATAATAGGTTGGGGTTTTATTTTATTGTACTTTATGTTTTCGAGCACTGTTATAAATAGGCATTAGATTGTACATGTATTTTTGGATGATACATAGAATAATTATTTTTGAGATTTAATCTCCCGTTTAATATTGTATTCAATAGTAGCTCTGTATTGTATAAAAAGAAAGTTTAATTTTTCTTAGCATTTATCCTGCTGGATCTTGGGATCAATTTCTATTTCTTGTTATGATTGGGCACGATATGACATGTGCCGTATTAGGTCGTATTAGGTCAGGTCGTGACATGTAGTCCCTATGGAAAGACTCTAATCCTCCCGTAAAAAAAGGGAGTTCATTATCCTTATTGGATGGATATAGTTTGAGGATTGTTAAGATTTCTAGTCCCTATGGTGAGGCTTCGTTCTTCTCTTGAAAGAGGTGTTTACTATCCTCTTAAAGAGATGATCAAGACTTCTAGTCCCTATGGTGATGCTCTGATCTTTCCTTAAAAGAGACTTTGCTTGCCTTCATCCGACCATATTTAAAGGCATTCAAGAACTTTAGACTCTATATCGAGGCTCCGTCCTTTGAAAGAGGTGTAGACTAACCTCTTTTTAAAGATAAAATTGAGATGTGATTAGGGCATGCTTCTGCACTTTTTCTCTAAATTTATTCTCCAATATCGGTTATGCAAATATTCGTGTCGGTCTTAACACTATTGGAATCATTTAAAATGTGATGCAACTGAGGCATTACTCTATTGAAAATTATAACAAACTTCAAGGGAAATGAGATATTACATTGGATATCAATATTAGTGATGAAATAAAGGCTTTACCAATGATGGAACTTTAACTAACCTCTTTATCTATGCTAAGTAGAGTCATGAAAAATTCCTTTCGAACTTTTTCTTTCTTAGGTTATTAGTATAATGTGTGATTCAAAATCTTAACTAGTGGCGAAATATGTTGAGAAAAATGCAACAATTTTTTTTTTAACATATCAAACATTATTTGCTAGAAAATTACTTGATGGCATTAACATATATGACAGAGGTTGATAAAAGACATATCACGTGTTATTTTTTAGAGTAAAACATAAATATTAAACTATGTGAAAGAGTTCGAGAGAAACCACAAAAGATATTTTACATATTCAAGATTGTTTGTCAAAGTGTTACTCAATAATTAATCTGTGTGAAAGAAGAGTTCAAGAAAATTCACCAATAATATTTAACATTTTTGAATTTATTATTCAAATCATTGCTAGATAATATTAACATATATGAAAGAGGTCGAAAGAAATCTAGCAAATATATTTAACTTATTCAATGTTATTTATCAAAATATTGTTTGATGATGTTAAACTATGTGGAAGATCTCAAATCAAATCAAAAAATTGTACTAAAAAACCGCTTTAAAAAGCAGTAAGAAAACCGTCCCAAACGAAGCCTTGAACAACCATTCAAGGTGTGACAAAGGTTGCTTTTGGCTGAGAATCATTTCGGCGTCAGGAGGGAACTCTGTTGCAAATTAGGAAGAATTTCAGCATCACGTGGAAGTTGTGAAGAACTCCTGCGTTCTCCCGAATATCACGCAGAATCCCGACGTGTTCGGGCAGCAGTAAGAGCTCCGGCGGTGGTCGAGGAGGAGCTTCTTCCTTCTCCTCATTCTTATCTTCTTCTTCTCTCTCTTCCCTTCTGTCCCTTTGGTGTAGAATGAGGGCTTTATTTATAGTTTTTCTGGAGTGGCATAGCCCGTAAATAGGTGTGAGATCACGGGCGAATAGGGAGTGATCCGAATGGACGACCGATATGGAACCCTTCGATCATGCACTGTTCGTTGGACATTTGAAGGCCTTAATGATGTCGGAATTCGGCGATCTTGGGCTCGTTTGATTCATCTCGTCGAGACGTTTGATTCGAGTATAAGCTCGTCAAAATCGGAGACCGTTTGATAACTCAAATTGCGGTTTGAACCTTCCAACAGCGCTTTGAGCCCTTGATTCGGACTCATTTGGGCTCGGATTGGGTTGATCTTGGTGTCGTTGGGTTCGTATTTCTGAGACGCTCAGTTTGACTATAAGCTCGCTGAAATCGGAGTACGGGAGATTTCAAATTTAATTTTTGAAGTTTCCAACTAACTTTTGCCTCAAGATTCGTGCCCGATCAAGATAATTTTTGCGTGACGTATCACTTATAATTTTTTTTCTCATATTTAATAGAAGCTTCACAAAAGATTGTTATCAACTAGGTTGCATGACTATAATTATGTCTAAGATGTTAGCATAAATATCTCTTAAAGGTTAAAATCAAGGGTTCTCCCTGTCTTGATTTGCTTCCCATGAAATTAATACAATAATGAATTGTAGAAGAGAGAAGTTTTTAGACTACAATCATGCGTAGGACTTTGCATGCTTTATGTTGTGATTGAAATGGCAAATTATTGGGTCAGGTGACCGGAGGCAAAAGATAAGTTCGGACATCCAATAAAAATTTGCCGCGTCACCTTGCGCTTTAATTGCGCTTTACCTGCACTTTTTGACTTGCGCTTTAGTTGCGCTTTAGTTGCACTTTACCTGCGCTTTAGTTGCGCTTTACCTGCGCTTTAGTTGCGCTATTTTTAAAATAATATTTTATTAATATCCGGACCTATCTCTGCGTTCGGTCACTTGACCCAATAATTTGCCGATTGAAATTGCACGCCAATCTTAGCTTACTTCTTTTAAAGCAGATGAATTAATAGATGACGAAGAGATTCTCCGAATACAACCATACTAAAGATGTTGACTTGTGCTTCGTTTGGGACGGCTTTCTTCCTACTTTTTAAAGCTGTTTTTTAATACAAAAATCATAAAATTTGTAGTAAAAAGCCGTTTTAAGAAGCAGTAAGAAAACCATCCCAAACGAAGTCTTGAACAACCATTCAAGGTGTGGCAGAGGTTGCTTTTGGCTGAGAATCATTTCCCACATACGACACTAAACTATTGCACGTCAGAATGTTCTTGACAACAGAGTCAAAGAATTTATTATCTTAATCCATCACACATAAATAAAACTATTACAATAGACAACAGAGTTTTACATTGAGAAACTAGGACCTAACCTAGCTGAAATAATTTCACTAATATATATTATCCGTTATAAATAATGACCTTTTTTTTATGATTGAAAAAATATATTGATACAATATGATAGACAACAAAATAAATTTTGTGGTGAAAATTAGAAGTGCCTTGTGGCAAATAAATTATAAGGGACCCTTTTTTTTCAAATTTTTTTCAAGAACCAAAACCAACCAAATATTATGAAAAACAAAATCAAATAATATCCCGACTCAATTTATATCAAAATGAGCTTTACAATCATCAATTTTTTTATACATCAATTTTTTTATACCAAAATTAACATATTAAGGCTATATATAACATACAAAAGCTACACTAATCTTAACACAAATCCAAAGACTTCAAATCCCATCATGACATAAACTAAATCGTAAAACAACCTTTGGTTCTGTAACTATAAAACAGTTGAAAATTTTTGTCTAAAAAAGATCTCAAATTAATAGAAGAAAGCAAAGCCAAATGTCACAATCCTCTAACTGAAATGCCAAATACAAAATCCTGGAAAACAAAAGCAGGAACTTAGATAGGAAATAAGCAATATTGAATTCATACAGGTTTCATGTACTGATAGCTGAACATACAAATTAAGGCCTCCTTGGTACGACTTTCTTTCGCTTCTCAAAATAATTTTTCAATATAAAAATTAAAATTTTTATACTAGAAAACTATTTTGAGAAGCAGAAGAAAGCCGTCCCAAACGAAGCCTAAGACGTCATTTTAAATTACTTCTTCTTAAATGTACTAAAATTTTGTTTTAAAAAACAGTAAAAAAGATATCCCAAATGAAGCCTAAGACCGGGCACAGATTTCAGAAAGGAAATCACTTGACCATAATTCTTTTCCAAAATGTTTATAAAATAATGAGGGAAATCACCGACTTTTTTACTGTTTTTTAAAGCAGCTTTTTAGTATAAAAATTTTAATTTTTGTACTAAAAAGCTACTTTAAGAAGAGGTGAGAAAGCCGCCCCAAATGAAGCCTAAGATGTCATTTGAAATGGCTTCTTAAATGTACTAAAAAGATGTTTTAAAAAACAGTAAGAAATGTGTCCCAAAAGAAATCTAAGACCGGGCACAAGTTCAAAGTTTATAATCTTTATAAAATAACGAGGGATTCAAGTTCTTTTCAACAGTCATGTGCTAGCCTCACCCAACCTCTTGAAACAATTTTAAAAGTTCAAAGTTTCAATTGATCAAAAGCATCTAAATCACAGAGCATAAAAGAGAACGCTCAAGGAAATGAGAAACCAATAACCAGTCAAATAAAAGTAAGCAGCTTTAATTTTCACTTAAGTTGATAAAATAATCATCCATGTCACCACATAATATGTATATAAAAGATGATCAGGAAATAAACTCTTTCAAACAGTCCTAGATAAGAAAATCACCAGAAATAATATTACCAAAATGGTTGCTTGATTTAAGAGCTCCTGCTTAACGTTTCTTCCTCGATGTCATTAATGGCTGCAAAGATGACGAAAAGCTGAGCAACAGTACATATAAGTTAGGATAAACAACAGCAAAATACAAAGAAGGCCATAGCTTCTCCTACATCAAAAGGCTACCATGCCAATCAATCCCCCATGTGAACAACTAAAGCGTATTTGTAATAAGTTAACCTTCATACAAATATTTCATCTTACTTCAGCATTCCCATGAAGTGGCTGCTGGGAAAAATTGGCCTATAGGAAACTGAATGACAAGCCCTTGGATTGCAAAAACATCATTAATGTTAAGGTAAAGCCTCAGTTTTTTGGATTGCTACTGGGAAAAGTTGCCAAATTTGGGTTATTTTGAGAGTTCGACTTCAAGTTCGAGCCGTCGCCACTGGCGTGCTGGACGAACTCCTCTTGGGACATATGGATCCCATGGCAAGCACAGACAACCTTTATTTCATTTTGATTGTATTTGTAGGTAACACCAGATATGGTTTTGCTATTTGGTCCTTGTCCTGTGGTGGAAACCCAAGGAAGATCTGGGTATGAACCACACCCACCAAATTCTAAATATGGGGCAATACCTGGCTTAATACCTGGCCCGCCATGGAAAAATCCTTCCTTTGTAGGCTTGTTTGTTGTTTCATTTGTCATTCTGGTAAGGTTTCCTAGGTTGTTCCCAACAGATTCAGCGGATTCACCAGTCTCTCCGACACGTTTAGTCATGCCAATTTTCAAATCTGATGACTTCACATCAGATGGCAAAGCTCCAGTTGAATTATGAGCTACTGATCCTAAAAAGATTTTGAAAAGTTATGAAAACATTTTCATGAAAATATGACATGGGAACTGCAATTTCTTAACACGGTTGTTATTTTTGATAGACAGGTGGGCCTGAAGTAAAAAAAAAAAAAAAACTCTTCTAACTCATTTATTTGATGACCTCTTCTGGATATTTGTTCTGCATTAACTTCATACTATGCGCTTAAATTAAATATGCAAGCACAACATGTAAATACAGAAGCCTACATTGTATTGAATGCAATCAATTCTTATACAGGAAGGGTGAAGCAATTATGATTTTCAATCAGATAAAAATTCCAGATTTAACTGAATATCTGCTCATAGCTTTAAAAATGGGAAAAAAAAAAGAGAAAATGACCAAAATGATCCTTTAACTATTTGGGATTGGCCAAAATGATCCTCAACTATTTTGAGGGACCAATTTGATACCTCAACTCTTTAAAATAAGACCATTTTGATCTCGTCATTAAAAAAATAACGGAAAATTTGGACGGCAGAAGTATGTTGAGAGGGTGTGATCGGCATAACCAATATAATAATAATATAACGTCAAAACAACAACTCATTCATTCTTCGAACCTCCAACAGATGAGCGTTGAACCCCAGCAACCAAACCCTTCTTCAAAAGTGAGAACAATAGTTACCATCAAAGAGAGCGAGCTCTCATCGCTATGTCCGATCTAATAGGAAGAATGACGAACTTTCGCGACTTCCAATGTGACAGGAAGGAACATCATTGAAGGAGGGGAAGAAGGCTTTAGTGACTTGTTTAAAACCCTACCTCACAGCTCATGCAAAGCACAAAGTCCACAACAACGAATAACGAAGAACACATAAGAGAAGAAAGAAGAGCAAATCATTTGTAAATAATTAGGAATTAATTTATGTAATTTAATTATTATAAATTAATAAATTTAAAATTTAATTAGATAATTAATAATGTAAATAATAATTAAAATAATTAATTAGATAATTAATATTCTAACAAATAATTAAGTAATTACTCAAAATAATATTAGTAGTTATATAGTTATTAATATTTATAAGAGTAATTAGATAATTAAGCTAGTTAATATCTCTAAGATATTATTAGTTAAGTTAGATAATTAATATATGACTAAATATCAAGCCTTTGTCCCACTATGTGGGGTCAGCTACATAAATCCTTTTTATCCATGTGTCCTATTAAAAGTCAAATTCTCGTTTAAATCTAATAAAGAAATATCATTTCTAATATTTTCTAACCAAGTCTTTTTAGCTCTACTTCTACCTTTCTTAAGTCAAATCTAATACCTCTACTTTCCTAATCAAGTCATCGGAAGGCCGCCGTTTTAGGTGATCAAACCATCTAAGACGTCTCTCTCTAATCTTATCTTCCACTGGAGCTACTCCAATCTTTTCACGTATATGCTCATTTCGTATCCTATCCCTAAAGGTAAAGCCACTCATCCATCTGAGCATCCTCATCTCTGCAACACTTAACTTAGTATTATGCTTCTCTTTTAATGGCCAACATTTGGCACCATAAAGCATTACAAGTCTCACCACCATCATATTGAATTTTCCCCTAAATTTGAGGGGGACTTTTCCATCACAAAACATGCCTAATGCATTCCTCCACTTCAACCATCTAACTTGAATTCTGTTAATAATATCCCCATCTATTTCACCATCACTCTGACCAATAGATCCAAGATATGTAAAATGTGTACTCTTATTAATAACTTGATCGTCCAAAGTCATAATCCCCTCACTAGGTTTATTACTACTAAAATTACACTATATATATTCAATTTTAGATCTACTCAAGTGAAAACCTTTAGACTCTAAGGTTGACCTCCATAATTCAAGTTTAGCTTCAACTCCTTCTCTAGTCTTATCTACAAGAAGACTATCATCAACAAAAAGCATACACCAAGGTACATCCTCTTGCAAATCTCTAGTGAGAACATCTATGACTAAAGCAAAAAAGATATGGGCTTAAGGCTGATCCTCGATGTAATTCAATCGAAATAGGAAAATACTTGGTCAAACCACCTCGTGTTTGAACACAAATAATAGCTCATGCATACATATCTTTAACGACTTGAATATAAGAGTTATAACTCTCCATAACACTTCTCTTGGAACTTTATCATATTCTTTCTCTAAATCAATAAATATCATATGTAGATCCTCCATATTCTCTCTATATTTCTTCATCAAACCTATCAATAAATGTATAGCTTCCATAGTAGACCTACCCGACATGAATCCAAATTGATTTTGAGAAACATTAGTATCATACCGCAACCTTTTGCAATATTCTTGATATCACTAGTCACTCTTTTTCGCATAACATTAACATCCTCATGCACAGACAAAATCTTAAGATCTAAAATCTCATTCTCAATAAATGATAAAAAAATATACCCATTATATGAATATATAAATTTAATGTTAGAAAATTAGGAAACAAAAGGAATAGGTCTAAAAGATAATATGAATAAAATTTAATGAAATGAATTTGTAAATAATAAGTTCAACACTGTTGGCACTCAATAAGAATGAATGAAAAATGAATATTCATAAAATCAACAAAAATTAGCTGGGATATAACTAATGATGATGATCATCATCAAACTGAAAGTGATATTGAAACTACACATTCAAAACTTCTGAATTCAGAGCTTAAGCCATTTATTTTGGCCAAACAGATAGGCTAACAGAACATTAAAAACTGTTTGGGGGAAGATGAAAACTAATTTGTGCTTTGCTGAACTTTGAGTAATTAACTATAAAATTGATCATTTATTAGGATAAAATAGCTAATACAATTTAACTAAATAGATAAACAATTAAACCGGATAATTAAGGCTTAAGCATAGTCTTTATGCCGATATTCAATGCAACGTAGATGCAGCAAGGAAGGATGATGATAGGCGGGTGATTTGGGCAGTGAGAAAGGCTGTTAAATGTTATAAAGAGCAGCAAGCAGTAAGAAGGCAGCATGACAAGCCATGGGATGCTGGCATAAAAAGGGACATGAGCTGGGTTGTACTACATCAATGGTGATGGAGGTCATGGAAAAGTGAGGGCAAAGAACCTGAGGGAAAAAAGTTGCTAGTTAGCTTAACCATACTGAAAGTGCCTCCTAGCTGAACAGAGTTGAGTTGATTATTCTAAATTCAGACCGTAGCTTTTCTAGCTTAAAGGAGCGAAATGCTTGGTGAAAAGTGAAATGACTAGGGGAATCAATAGCGCAGAACTGTTTGGTGAAAAGTGAAAAGATTATGAGCATCAATAGAAAATTTGATCAAGAGTTTGAGATAAATTAAGAATTTGATTTTTATCAGAAAACCTAAACCCAAACTTTACAAATAGCAATACAAATAGTTTTCAAAAAGAAAGAATTACAATATATATTAATATCAACAATCAAATAAAACTATATTGTGCGCATAAACGCATGCACATGAGATGCACACGAGTGTAAAATTTTATTATCGTTGGCATATTTTTGCACAGATGCACTGAATGGTTAGATGACTACACTTGGGGGTGTCAATTTTGGGTAACGGGTCGGGTTCAGGTCAAATTTGAAACTGACCCGACAGTATTCGGGTCAACCAAACCCGACCCATTTTTTTGCAAATGGGTAAGTTTTCGGACCTAAACCCGACCTGCTTTGGGTCCGGTTCAACCCGACACGAACCGAATGACCCGGGACCGACCAAAAATTGCTAGTTTTTTTTTGTCAAAAACCCGATAAATCTCAGATTTTCGGGTAAAAAACGGGTCAATCTTGGGTTTCCGGATAAAAAACGGGTCAATTTCGGGTTTCTAGGTCAACCTGAACCGGACCCGGTTTTTGAAACGGGTTGTTTTGTTGAACCCGAACCCAACCCATTTCGGATTCGAGTTGACCCTAACCCAGAATTTTCAGGTCAGGTTCATATCAGATTTCGGATCGTGTCAAATATTGACACCCCTATCTACACTCAATGATGTCAATATAAGAATAAATGTAAATATCAATGCATATATTAATATATGGGTCAAGTGCTGAATATATGTACAGGTTGATCCATCTCTACAGCCAAATGTTATGGGGCCATTCATTATTGGATCACATGGTTAAGTCTACTTCTAGGAAAGTAGGCATATAATATGTCCTTGTTTTGCTAAAGATAAAAAAGGACCTGAACCACAATATCCCATAGATAGGATAGGCTAAAATCCTTTACAATTGTGGATGCAATACTCTCCATATATCAATTCATATGTGTAGCTCTTTATCAAGCCAATGCTTCAAATAGGTTGAATTTCCAAGCAGGGTTAGAGCTGATATAAAGCCAGTATTAAACGTAGCAGAATAAAACTTTAAAAGATGCTAACTTAGATTTAATCTATACCTGAACAAATCTTATCATGAAAAGATTAAATTTAACCAACATGCCTTCCAAATTGCCAACTGACTTCATGAATAGCTTGCAACACTTGCTAAGCTGTTCAAATAATCTGAGCAGGCTATTCAATTGGTACTATAGAAAAGCCTAATACTATATTATATGAGCAAAAAAGCTTAGAATTTTAGTATGTTTAATGCTTTTTCTTTTGAACTATGCCATCAAGAAATTTACAATCGTGAGAATACACCAAATTATTGTAAAAAATCAATCTTGATGCAATTTGATGATGGTCCCTAAGAATGATCTCCTACTTGATCTCGTCTTCTTTCTACTCTTTGAATTTAACTTGATTGTTAGCTTTCTTTCTTGAATTCTACCCTTTGGATGCGTATTGCTACATGGGATTTGGGTTGCACAGCAGCTATGAAAGTGAACATACCATAGGAAGATCTTGAGAATTGGGTTTATGGAGAAGAGAGAAAAATAGGTATACAAAACCAAAATTTCAATGAGACGTTCAGATACTTGGGAAACCATGAGACAGAGAAAGAGATATCATGCGATAGAGGGAACGAGGAGAAGGATTTTTTCAAATTTTAACCATAATTGGATTATTCAACTTCAAGCAATAAACTCCTATTTATAGATATGAGGTTATATTTATAATAAACCTAGATAAGTTATGATTCCTATTATCTAATTTAAAATAAAAAAGTAACAATTAAGTTTCTTAAAATTGAAATAAAGTTTTAAAAATAACCAGAAAATATAATAATTTAGAATAATCTTGATGTATGCCTTCAATTGCATTAACTCCCTTAAGGCCCATAGAATTCTTCTCTAGAAGACTCATTCATAATTCCTTTCTTTAGAATCTAGTTTTTATGGTTGAGGCTGTGGAGTTGGTTCATGAACATACCTCCAATCATCAACATGTGCAAATTGAACATAGAGAGTAGAATCAACAACTTTGGCTCTGAAATCCGAAGCTCTTTATGCATAGTACATCTTTTTAATACTAATACCATAGAAGAGACTCCCACGGTCACATTTAGATGTCAGTATGGGAACACAACCTCAATCCATATTTCTGAGAATAACTTTTATACAACAATTTGGAACCTATAGAATAACATATATATGTCTAAAGAAGAATCTTACAAGAATACTAGCTTATAGGTCAATCTGTCTCTTCATCTAAATATTAGATATAACAAAAGATATATCTATCTCAAGCTTGATCTTAAATTTAGGATTACGAATAGTCTCAAGTACAACATCAATGTCAATCTAAGCTAGAGATATGATTAATGATAAATAAATATAAACATCAAGCACATTTATAGAAATTGGATCCTCATAAACCAACTTAGCATAAGATCATATCAAGCCCATCTATAGAAATCGAATCCTCATAAACACAGGTGCATGGGGGTAATATCAACTCATTTGAGTGAATCAACTTAAACTCAAAATAAATTTGTTTCATTTTAATGAGCTCAATTAAAGTTTAGCTAAAAGTAATTGATTTCAATAGAGTTTCAAGTTGATTGAGTAATTTTTATTACAACAACAACAAAAAAGCTTTTATCCCACTATATGGGGTCGGCTACATAAATCATTTTTCTACATTATGTCCTATTGAGAGTAAAAAAAGTCATTTTTAATACTTTCTAACCAAGCCTTTTTAGGTCGATCTCTACATTTCTTAACATAAGCCGGATCTAATAGGATCAATGAAGGTCATTGGAGTAAATTTTATTAATCTTACAAAATATATTTTGGGTAAATTAAATGCATGTACTTGAGATATATGCCATGTTTTACGTTAGTGCATATTTTTAAACACTTTGCTTGGATCTACCGCATCATTTTCCTCATTCACATAGGTCCCAAGCATAACTACATCATTGCTCAACATTAAATGCAGTCATATGACCTTGCATGTTATGTTTTTGAGCATTTTCAAAAAAATAAATGGCTAATAAACCCTTTTTCACTCATCAACTTCCTCTCCCTTTGCTATGTCCACCACCAAATTCTCTCCCACTTCTACTATCATGCCACTCCTTCGATTTAGTGAGCAAAAACAAATGTACTCAAGATTTAAAGATCAAAGAGATTTTCAACACCAATAGCCTCCATAGCTATACCATATTCCAGATCACAGATCACCACAAGATAAGGCTTTAAGAAGATATGACCACATAGATATAGTTCTCGAGGAACACAACTGCTTCACTTTATTTTAATCCACAAGAAATATCAAGTTTTCTAAGGAAAAAAATGAGGAATGAATTATCAATCAGCAACACTAAAAAAGAACTAAGAAGCACAAAATGATATATGAAGCACAAGATAGCTAAAAGCTTTAGTTCCCAAGCATCATAATTTCCCCTCATTTTTAAAAGTGTTTTTTATATTTACAAAAAAAACAAATAGCCCTCAAAAAATTAAGCGCCGGCAATTTCATATTCCCTCATTGTCAATAGAAAATGAGAATAAATTAAAGCACTTAATAGAAGAAAAAGGGGAAAGCATTGTAGTCTAACTATGAAACATGATCTATACTTTAAGAACTTGTATGTAATTATCAAACATTTATTGACTATTAATAAAAATTAGTTTACATAAAAGTATTCAAAATTTATTTATAAAATATATCATTAAATATACTAAATATAAGGGTAATTGCCATTTAACCCTATCACTTTATTATAATGCACGCATAACCCCAACATTGTTTAATAATAAGTGCTTAGCATAGATGTGTTTCTATATAAAATGTAACTTATTGAGGTGTTGATATTAATTTTCCTATTCTTTGTTGATAAATCCATCAATTTTTAGATCAAATTAGCTCCAATCGGTTATAAAATTTGTTAATTTATATTTCCTCATTATTAACAAATGTTTTACCTTATTTTTCTTGTCAAATCCCACCGTAGGAGATCTATAAAAGCAGTCATCGTTCTCTCAACTCTGTGTGGTCTTCTCATGTTTTGAGAGTAGCCAACATTAGAGATATTTTAAGTCCATCTTTCTCTTTCGGTAAAAGTTTATCAAAGGGATTATACCTCAAGAGGTGATCGATAAATTAAGATGGATGTAGAGGATGCAACCAACACATTTAATGAAGGCAAACTTAGTTCTTTATTGGAGTCAAAGTCCTGTCTACAAGCTACCAGATCATTAATGGTGTAACACCTAATTATTTACACCAAATTCCAAGTGTGCAAATGGCCAACAATTGATAAAATGAGAGCCACTGAGAAGCAGAAAACTCTGGTGGATCTATTAAATCAATCAATCTCGACTACTTAGCCCAGGGTCTACTCCCTCTGAATAATTGATCATTTTAAAGATTTTATTCTTGAAGGTTCATCTTCTGTTCACACTCTTTTAAGAATATCACTCATCGACCTGAATTGACGACCTTGGTCCTTGACATCCATCGATCGCCTTTGGCGCAATCTGCTCGGACCACCAACAGCTTAGGTTTATGCCTTTTTTAACATCATATTACTCCTCTTTTCCCTAAGTCTCCTCCAGTAGCTCAGATTAGATCAACCTATTTGGACCTCCATCTCTTTAAGTTGGTGGCATTTGTTAAGGATTTCCAATTGAAAATTTCAGTTGCAAATAGAAGAATTTATTTTTAGATAGTTTAAACTTGAACCTCATTTTATATGACCTATAAATCCCATGCATTAATATGGGTAAAATGATATGTAAAGGTCAATGATTACATTCAGCAGTTAGAACCTTAACAATTTAAACTATCTAATTTACAAGTAATCAAGCAACATCAAAAGCACTCATTCAGAAAATTAATCAAAAAATATGCATAAGAAGTGGTATTAAGATAATGCGAAAGACTGGTTGCAATGAAAGCATAAATAGCTACATGATCATTTGGGTTGAAGAGGGTTGACCTTCAGATGTCTTCACGCCATCCTCAAAATGCTCTTGCTTTAGCGCACCAGCAGAGTGCTTTCTGCTAGTAAAGGAAGATGCATGCAGAGATTGAGAATTAAATGCCCAGGGAGAACCTTTTTCCATTGCCGGATGCGGGACAGAAGGGTAACTAAAGGCAAGCTGCATGTTGTTGGTATTGACTGAGACCACAGGATGTTCACCATTTGCAGTTGGCATTAGTTGCATGACACATTTTGAAGGAAGAGACGCAGCATTTGGCCCGCTACTAGTAGAGGGTATCATTGCAGGAACTGGATAAGGTCCACTCATGGCAGGTAATGGCTGGAGCATCAATGGAACCCCAAAAGCAACTTTTCCTAACTCAGGTTTGGGTTCATTTCCTGATTTATAGGCCTCTTTCTGACATTGTGAAGCACTTGAACTGCTTAAAACGTATTTAGCATTTAAGTTAAAAGCTTCTGAGCACTTTGCTTTTTCTTCTCTAGGCAAAGAAGGCCAAGATTTCGGGCCTTCCGCTTCAGACTCAGCTGCGCCTCCATTTTCACCCGTGGTACCATCTTCCATGGTACTTGAAACATGTGAGTTTCTCATGGAAGGATCTTCGGTACGATTCTTTCCATGATTTTCAGCATAATCAATCAATTTTTCATGCTTGTTTTGAAAATTGATCTCCTCAAAGGACAATTTCCTTTTGCTGGAACTTGATTTCTCTTCTTCAGTCTCAAGAGTTTTATTACTTGATATCCACAGTTCTTGATACCTTGTGAATTGAGGCTTGCTCCGTCCATCATTATAACAATCTGCTATAGGAGAGGAGCACTTAGAAAGGTCTGTAAAGAAGTTCTCTTGTCTATACTGAATAGGATCACTCTTTTGTTTCCCCTTAGGATCATGGTTCTCCAAGCCTGATTTGAAAAAGTTCTTAAATGAGTCATCAGAAACAGTCATATTGCTTCCCGTATGTCTACTGGCATTTCCTTCATCACGTTTAGTATCTGAAGTTACATCTTTGACTTTAGATTTGTTCGATGATCTACCACATGAAAGGCCCAAGTCTAACTCAAGCCCACTTTCATCCACCATTTGCTGAGTGAGTAAGCAAAACAAAACACAGAATTTATACTTCCTGCATCTGTATAGATCATAAAAAGCAACTGCAAACGGAAAGACATGTTAATGTTAATAAAATTAACAGTGGAAAGAAAACGAAAAGTAGGGATGATGAAATCATGAACAAAGTTGGAAAAGAGTTAAATAGATGAAAGATATACCAGAGAAGCATTGGTAACCTAGAATTGTATTCAGCAAAACTAAGCAAATGACTAAGTGCCATGAGAATTGATTTGATGAAATATTAAAGAGGGAAGATGTGTATCAAAGAGTTTATTTTAATTATGTATGATAGAACATCAAAAAACATTAAAATCAATTCAGCAAAAACATTATTTTAATTATGTAGCCAAAGTTTCAATTACAATAGATTTACATCACTAATCAATATCAAATCAACACCTTCTTATATTAGGTATGTAGATGCTTACAAAAAAATATTCAAAATGTAATAACTATGCATATGTCATTAGCCAAAGATGCATCAATAAGGAGGCAAGTAAACATAATTAATGCAAAAGTTTTTACAGGAAAAAAAGGTGGGCTAAAAGCATGATGGCCTGTTAAACTTGCAAAAGCTAGAGATGAAACCCCATGTGGTACTCAAAGGTAATGAATCACGACGAAGAAATCGCAACACAAATGACAAATAATATGGATGAGGTTAAAAATGACTGATGAAAACAAGAACTAAAAAATAAAAAAGTTGAATAGAAAATCCAGTAGAAATCCCAAATTTTGCTCAATAAGAAGTATGTTGGATGTCCCATGAGTATGAACATAGAAACTAGGCAGTCCTCATAGAAACAGGTAGGAAACACAGTAAATAAAAGCACCATTTGCAGCATTCATACCCACTTGTTTTGGTTTCTACTAATCAATACAATAACAATAAGCCTTTATTCCACTACGTGAGGTTGACTACATGAATCCTTTTTATCTATTGTGTTAGATCAAGAGTCAAATTCTCATTTAAATCTAATAAATAAAGGTCATCTAATCTAAAGAAAATTAAAAAAAAAACTGATAACTAGCAAGAAAACCAAATATCTGATATGAATCCAACAAAAACATAAATCAAAAGTGATGTGAAACCACATAGGAATTCCAAGTTGAAATTTATAACGATTGAATTAGGCGTCGCAACTTAAACTTAATGTTTCACTTTGAAAAGATTTTACGAATTTAAAATTGTTTAAATTGATATGACAAGTAACAACACAATAAAAGACAATATCTCAAAATAATATCAAGATTATAATGAAAACAAGTAGTGCAACAAACAAACAATCCACCACGTAACAAAGAGAGAATTCACCTCAAGTTTCTGTTAGGCCGGCCAAAGAGGGGCCGGCTGGACCGGTCCAAGTTTATTCCAGGCCAGGGCCTGGCTGGGCGGAAACAGCAAGGGGAGCGGAAGCCCCTGTGGGCCCCACTTGGGGTTAAATCGATTTTGGGAGGAAAATTTCTGAATTAGGGACTGTTTAAGGTATTTTGTAATTTTCCCTTGTCTTTAATTAGGAGTTATGGTGAGAGTTTGGCTCTCATCTTGAATTTGAATTTTATTTGAGATCTAGAGTTTGTCTTGGGCTCTTGGCATTGCCAGAGATTGTGGAGAGTATTTCCTTCCTCTTGAATTGAAGGAAAATTGTATCTTGCAAGTGCTTTTCATCTCCTAGTGGAATACAAGTGTTTGCTTTGATTTCCTACGAATTTCTCTTAAGATTCTCTCAGTTTTCCCACTGTTTAGGCTGTTTTTCTGCTGTGGACAGCAGCTTTCTTTGTTTAGATACTTGATTTTGGTTAGGTTTCTAGTGAATACAACCATTTCCTATCAAATTGGTATCAGAGCATCGATTGGGGACCTTGGGCGGCTGAAATCCCTATTTTTCAGCGAGCTTTCGGCTTCCGGAAGTGTTTTTTAGAGATCCGTTGGGAAGAACGATGGCCGGAAAGAAGGTAGAAGTCTTGGAAGGCAAAATCGGAAAATTGAAATCCGATTTAAAAGGAAGGTTCTTCGACTTTCAAAATCAAATCACCTCCAACAATGAAAGGTTGGAAGGAAAGTTCACTGTGATGGAAGAAATGATGAAGAAATTACTTGAAATGAAGACCAATCCGGCGACATCGGAAGTAAGAGAGACCACCAACGGCCATGACATGGGAGGAAATCCGAAACCTTCGCGGGGGAAGAGAAATTCGGAGGTAGAGATCCTAGAGGGAGAGAACGACATGCCTCATCTAGAGCCTCTTTCTAGGGAAGAGATGAGTATGGGATATGACATAAAGGGGTGCTGATTTTGGCGGGAGAAGAGAGGAATTTCAGCGTCGATGTGCTGATTTTGAAGAAAGAAGAGAGGAATTTTAGCGTCGAGGTGCTGATTTTGATGGGAGAAGAGGGGAATAAGATGGTGGTTTGGGATACAATCGTCGGAGGGACGATCGGGACAATTGGGGAGATCCTCCTCTGAGAGGAATGGGAGGTTATGGAGGATACCGGGGAAACGGGAGAGATCCCAAGGTGAGGAAATTGAAGATGCCCGTTTTTTAGGGTGAAGACGGCCATGGCTAGATCTATAAGGTGGAGCATTACTTTGCTGTCAACGGGTTGACAGAGGATGAGAAGCTGACGGCTGCGAGATTGTGTCTGGAAGGAAAAGCTTTGGCATAGTATCAGTGGCGTGACAGAAGGGAGCCCATCCGGAGCTGGAGGGAGTTCAAGGATTGCTTATTAGAGCGTTTCCGAGCTGATGGGGGAGGAGACTTTTATGAGCAGTTCTTTGCCCCGACTCAGGAGGGGACGGTGGCGGATTATCGAGACAGATTTGAGTACTTGGTTAGCCGATTGGATCACATCTCGGAGTCGGCCCTGGAGGGGAACTTCATGAAGGGGCTTAAACCAGAGATACGAACAGTTGTCAGAGTATTGGAGCCTAGGAACATAGGGAAGGCTATGGAACTAGCACAGTTGGTGGAAGATCAGAAGAAATCTGAAAGAGAAGCTCGAGGAAACTATTCGCGGCGGAGGGGGGGGGGTCGTACAAGATGACTACTACCTTCTTGCCTTAAAAGGGGGCAGCCTCAGGGAGTCTGAAGGAAGCACCAAAGGATAGGACTGGAGGAGGGGGAAACTGATGTAGGCAAAGGGGGGGTCAACTCAAACCCAAAATAAGTTGGATTTGACTTCCCTTGAGCTTACAAGCTCAATCAATTTGAGCTAAAATTTTAGTTTTGAGCTGAAATTTTAGTTTTGAGCTGAAATTTTAGTTTTGAGCTGAAATTTTAGCTCATTTATGAGCTGGTCTTTAGTTCACTTATTGAACTAAGGGTTAGCTCATTATTAGCTAAGTTTTAGTTCATAGTTATCTTTTATTAAATGTGCTTTTTATTGTTTTTATGTCTTTAATTATGTTTGTCCCTTGAAATTCCAAACCGGCCTTTGGAATTCCAAGAAGTGTTGTTTCCCATGTGTGGCTCCTTGGCTTCCACTATGGGTTTTAGTTTTTTTTGTGTGCCTTTGCCCCCTGGAATTCTGGTCGACTGCTGGTTTTCCGAGCCTGGGTGTTTTCCCGTGGCTGTAGCGCCTTGGTTCCGTGCGGCCTCCTTGGCTCCCGCGGCTGCTCCTTCGGTTCTTGGGCTTGGGCTATTTTTCCATGAAAAGCATTTGGGTTTTAATGTTTGTGATGTTTAGAATTCCTATGTGAATTCATTGTTAGTGTCCTTTTGTATTTCCCCTTTCATATCTATAAATATGAGGGGGCTTGTAATGTTTGAAAAAGTGAATGTTATGTGATTTTTGGAAATGTAAACCTGCGGGTTTCATTGAAAAAGCTTGCGAGCTTTGTGCACTTCTTCTTCTCATCCCCTACGGAAATCTTGCGAGCTCTTTCCAACCTTTCGTCTCGGCTTCTAATCTCTTTCGTCTCTCCGCAAGTGCCACTCCATCTGTATCAACTTTAGGGTGCATTGATTTTCGATTCGAGTTTGTTAGCGTTTGTAATCTTTTAATTTCTTCTTTTTAGTTTAATTTGAAATGTAAGAGTTTGTTCTTCCTCATCTTAGTCATCATCGTTCGTGAATCAGCGGGTCGTCGGTTTTAAGGGCCAATCATTCGTGTGGGCGAGGGGTATAGACCCCCTATATTTCTTGCCCCCACCAGAAACGGGGGACAGTTCAAACGGCTGACCGAGAAGGAGATGCAAGAGAAGAGGTCAAAGGGGTTGTGTTTCCGATGTGATGAGAAGTACATGCCCGGACACAGGTGCAAGGACTGAACTCTTCAGGTTATCCTCGTTTGCGAAGACGAGGAGGGAGGTGAGAGCGGGTCAGAAGGGGAGAAGTTGCATCTGGATGTGACAGAAGTCTCTCTGAACTCGATAGTGGGATTCACTCCGAGTCACACTATGAAAGTAAGATGAGAGATAGCTGACCGTGAAGTGTTGGTGTTGATCGATAGTGGGGCAACCCACAATTTCATTTTTGCCCAGATCGTTGAGCAGTTGGGGATAGAGCTAGTCAATACAGGAGGCTATGGGGTGATGATGGGCACGAAGAAGGTGGAGATGGGGAGAGGAGTTTACAGGGGAGTGGTCTTGACCATCCAAGGGCTACAGGTGAGGGAGGATTTTCTACCCTTAGAATTGGGAAGTACAGATGTCATCCTGGGGATGAAATGGCTACAGACTTTGGGGGAGACCAAGGTCAACTTGGGTGCTCTGAGGATGGAACTTATGATAAAAGAGTAGAGGAAGGTGATCCAGAGGGATGCAGACTGTCAAGGGCAGTCGTATCTCTCAAATCCATGATCATATCCATATAGGAGGCGGGAGGGGGATTTTTGATGGAGCTGCAACGTTTGGAGAGGGTCATTGTGAGGGAAGAAGGAGAAATTCCACAGGTGGTGCAACCGCTCATACAGCAATACAGGGAGGTATTCCAACCACCCCAGGGATTGCCACCACCTAGAGAGCAGGAGCACGCCATCCTTCTGAAAGAGGGAGTGTCACCGATCAATGTTTGACCATACCGCTACCCCCAGATTCAG